CCCTGAACACCCTGTAGACCCTGCCCTAAAACTAAAAAAAAAAAAAAGAGAGAGAGAGAATCGCAGGGCCATGGGCAGTTGCAAAAGGAAGGGGGGCAGCCACCTTGCAGAGCATGTGTCAGTACCTACAGCCCTTCCTGGTCCTCGAAGAATCCCAGAAGTTTGTATCTATAATCTCTATTGAGTTAATTCCAATCCACCACTTTCAATGTACCCCGTAGCGAGAAGGAAGACCCTGAGGCATTTGTGGTGTGGGGAGCCCAGGGGGCTTGAGCCCAGCTAGGAGGTGGCTGACCGGAACAGAGGCCTGGATGTGGGCCCGATGTGGGGTTTATTCTTCATGAAGCGGGGGAGTAGCTGGGCCCCCAGTGAATGTGCGAGTGGCGGGAAGCAGGTGAGTGCTGTGAGCTGGGCCAGGCAGCAGGCCTGAAACCAGCTCAGCGACGTGCAGGAAGAAAGGTGCGCAGAAGAAATCACCTTCCTAATGCAGCTGAGGTGTGATGTTCCGGGGCCAGCGCTTCAGCTCTGTTGTGTAATCTCCTATGTCCAGGACATCACAGCCTCTGTCTCGAGGCTCGATCCCAGCCGACATCGCGGAGTGCCGCTCCGGGACAGGCAAACCCCGCCCACATCAGCCTCTTGGGTGAACCCACCGCAGTGCTCAAAGCCAACTGAAGGGAGAAGGAAAAGCCCAGGCCAGCTCTGCGCATGTCCATGCGTGGAAAAAGGGCCAGGCTCAGCCTAATGGAGACAGTGCTGTCACCCAAGTGTCCTCCACAGCTAAGCAGAGCCATGCACAAAGCTCCACAGGACACACGCACACGAGCACGCCTCTTGAGTTACACCTCTCCTGGCCACGCTCTTGCTTTTCAATACCCAAACCTACAGAATGGGTACATCTGCGGCCGTCTCAACACAACGCAGCACAATGTTTTTTCATCCCAACTTTATTTAGGAAACACTTAAATTATGTTTGCATCCAAAAATCTCATTGCAAGCGCACCTCCCCCGACCCCCGCCAAATTGTTTTCACCACATCTGCTTTCCTTCCCTCTTTTTCTGAGCCATTTAAAAATAATCCACAGGGGCTAAGAATGTCACTCAGTGGTAGAGTTCTTGCCTGGCAGCCAGGAAGGTCTGGGTTCAATCCCTTTTACAGCTGAGAAATAAAAATAATTTGCAGGGGTGAATATAAAAAAAATGTATTTTGTGTACAGTGGAATGTTATTGCATCTTACAAGGAGGGGAATTCTGAAACATGCTCCAACACTGACGAACCCTGAGGACTTTGTGAGTACAGTGATGGTCCCATTCCTGTGGCATGTGGATAATGAAATTTATGCAGAGAAGGAAGAACAGTGAATCTAGGGCTGGAACAGCAGAGAATGGGGCGTTCCTGTTTAATGAACATAAGAGTTTCTGTTCTGCTAGATGGCAAGAGTTGTGGAGACTGGCTGCACAAAGAAATGCGAATGTGGGGGCTGGAGAGATAGCTCAGCAGTCTAGGCGCCTGCCTGACAAGCCCAAGGGCCCAGGTGTGAAACCCGGTACCACATGCCATGCTGGCCCCAACTGTGCCGGCCACCAAATCTGGGTGTGGTGCTTCATTCCCAGTGCTGGGGAGGCTGAGACAGGAGGATCACTCCAAATCTGGGCTGTGCAGTGAGACCCTGTACCAAATAAATAAAGATTTAAAAAAAATTTTTTTTTAAAATGTGAAAGCACTCAAGCCTCTTGAAGGGTAATTTTTAGAAGGGCTACAATGATAAGTTGTATATCATGTATATTTTTCTGATGTAGCAAATAAATACATTGCAGGGTCTGTGTTATTTTACCTATAAATACTTCAGAATGTGCCTTGTCAGAGGAAGGACGCTCTTCTACAAAACGCAGCTCTATTATGGTGCACAAGAAAATTGGCAGTGCCGCAGTTGGCAATCTTTCATTCATATTCAGATTTCCCGAAGGTTCAAACGATGTCTTTAATCACTCTGCGTGTGTGTGTGTGTGTGTGTGTGTGTGCGTGTGCGTGTGACTCAGAGATCCAACCAGGGACCACACATCACACGTGACTGCGTGACTGCATTGGGCAGCCACAGGGCCTTTGCTTGTAGAACAATCTTCCGTGACATTAGAATTCTTAAAACACTCGGGTCACTTGCCCAGAAGAGCCACCATCTGTGTCATTTCCTGATCTGCTTCTACTGACTGGTTTCTCTCCTGGTAATAATAAGTCTTTTTTTTTTTTTTTTTTTTTTTTGCGGGGGGTACTTTTTATTGACTACTACACAGGCTGTCTTTACATTGCTGAATGCTGGAGTTTGTTGCATTCCTCTAAAATAAGGCATTAAAGTTCCCTGCAGACCAGGTGCGGCGACGCATGCCTGTAATCCCAGGACTCAGGAGGCTGAGGCAGGAGGATCACCATGAGTGTGAGCCAGCCTGGGCTACAGAGGGGGACCCTGCCTCAACAATGAACAAACCAACCAACCAGGCCGGTCTGGCAGTCACTGTGGATTACTTTGATTCTTCTAATGCTTGTGTTTTAATCTTGACCTTGAACTCTGTGGCCCTTCTAATCAGTGAGGCCACCTGGCTATCCTCCCCTTCCTGAACTGCAGCCTGGAGGTTCTCCCAGGCGAAGCCAGGGTCCCCCACTCGTCTCCCTGTTTGTGAGGATCACAGAGCAGGGGTCCAATATCTCTGGCATCTGTTTCCTGTATTTCATTGAGCTTTCCACTTACCTCTGCAGGAAAGGCTGCTCCACAACTGGAAATTCTGTCCCCATAAATATTTATTGATCACAAGGAGGAGTTAGGTTTTCAGTGCATCTTACTAAGTAATCAAAATTAACATTATAAAATACAGGGCAAATCAACACAGCCTCGCTCCTGAGCATCACACACTGAACAGTGCAGCAGCCACAATTCCACGACCGAAATCTAAAACAAAATCCTAGCCGCAAACTGCCGTCCTCCAGGAAGAGTGGCGAGTGGGTCCCCGGCCTCTGGCGGCCCAAGGTCAGCAAGGGCACTGAGCTGGCTCCTGCCCTGGGAGGGTCCGGTGAGATGACAGCAGAAGGTCCCTTCCTTATCCCTGTTCTCAGAGTCTGCTGATTCTGCCAGAGCCGAGGGCAAGTGGCCATGTGGGGTCACAGCCATCCCCCCACCCAGGCTGGCTGTGGGGAGGAGAGGGCCGTCTCAAGCACACACCCCCCAGCAAGGTAATGGCTGAATTGGTTGGAGGAGCAGGATTTCCTGAGCGTCCTAATGGGTGTCCGCCCAGAAAAATGGGACAAATCACTTCTATAGAGACAAAGGACTGGGACACCTTGGGCTCTCGTTCCTCCAGCCAACTGGCCCCATGGCAGGTACCTCCTCAAGGCACAGATGTTCCCTAATCGGTCCCCAGCTGTGTGCTCAGCACCGCAGATCTCCTTGGAGTCCTTTGCACTTTCCAAGGCTCAGGGCTCAGAGCAGGAGCCAGTTCTGTCCCTGGTCACTGGTCCCAGGCACAGGTAAACCAGACCTGGGGCAAATACCTGGGGAATAGGACCAAGCAAAAAGTCCCCAAGGTCTGTAACAATGGCTGTCTTGCAAGAAGTGGCTTCTTCAATACTGACAGGTCCCACCCAGTGAATGACGTCAAGGCAGACTGGCTCTGAGCTGACTGCCTGCCAAGCAGGGTTCCAGACGCAGCTCTACGGATGCTGGGGGACAGATGGGCCTCACTGTCCTGTGCCTTGTTGGACAATGAGTAGCGAAGAAGCCGCCACAGCGACAGGCCAGGCGCTCCCCTCCCTGGGAGACCGACTGCAGATGCTGCTTCCTGTGGAGCACCTCAGTGGTGCAGGGTGGACTTGGGGGTGGGGTGGATCTGCCCCCCAGAGCCCCGAGCTGGGACACTGGGGTTCATGGGGCCATTCGTGGCTGCATGGTGACAAAACCGGGTTCAAACCAAGCCTTGTTTGTAGCCTGGTTCTTTCCAGACACAGCCTAAAATGTTCAGCTTTGTGTTTCTGTTTTTGCACCCGCGCCTTTATGTTGCTGTCCAGCCCACCCTGGGCAGGCCGCAGTCTTCATATCCTCTGCAGAGAGAAGTACCGTGCACCCGACACTCAGGGGACACTCAGGACCTCCGCCCAGAAGGCACAAGGTCACCCCACCCAAGGGCTCTCCCCAAACAGCCAAAGGCAGTTGTTCACTCATGTGTTGGCAAGGGAGGCTTTGTGACCTCCTGTCCCTCCCAAAGAGAGAGGACAGGGCCTCACCAGCCGGTGCCTGGCCAGCAGCACTGGCAGGTTCTGGAACCAACACTCAGGGCGGTGCGGAATTGCCCAGCACCAGGTGGGCACAACCTATGCCAACCACTAAGTGCACGAAGGAGAAAGGAGTAGGCAAAGAAGACAGAGGACAGCCTGGCACTCCCGCATTCTTTATTGGAATAAACAACACACCGTGAGGCGCGCCATGTGGCCCGTGTCCCTGGCACGGAAGCGCCTGGCCCGCGCCGCCGCGTGCTACTGCGTGGCTTCCTGCTGTCGGCCGGGCGCTCTGATCAAAGCGTGGCCAGGGTTTTAGTGGCTTTTATTTAATATCCAGAAACCCAAAGTAAATGTTGCTTCAAACAATTAAAAAGACAATAAAATACTGGCACACACTGGGGGAAAGAGGATTCAGCTGCTTTAGAATAACACCATTCTTTGTTGCAACCAATTAGGACGCCATGGGGCCCTGGGCTTGGTGCTCACACAGTGCCGTGGGGGCTTGGCTCCCGAGCCACAGGGGCCGGGCTGAGGCTGGGGACCGGGCGGGGCACCAGGGCTTCTCCAGCGCTGTCAAGCCTGGTCCCTTGGGTGGGCATGATGGCTGTGCTGTCAGCTGGGTCAGTCTCTGCTTCAAAAAACCATTTAAAAACCACTAAGATGTGGCGTCCAGGCAGGAAGGAGGCTCTGCAGGCTCTCCCCCGAACTAAGAACCAAGAAAGAAGGGTTTGCGTCCAAGGGAAATAAGGGGCTTCTGGGGCGCAAGTGACCCCCAAGATGCCCTGGCATGGGCAGGCCACAGAGGACAGGGCATCTCCTTCCATACCACCCTCGCCCAGGTGACTTTTCCCCCAAGCCAGGAGGAAATCAGGGAGACTCAGCCCTGGCACAGGGAACCTGAGCTCAGAGCCTCTGTTCAGGCCTTGGCACTGGGGCTGTCCGGACTCCCCAGTTTTTGCTCACCTCAGTTGGAAATCCTGATCTCCCTCCTCTGCTCCCCACAGCCCCCATCACTCCCAGGCATGGTCCCCAGCCGCGAGTGTGCCTGTGACCACGCACGCCAAGCCCAGCTCTGCCGGCACCGGCTGCTGGGGTTCCCTACGTAACCAAGGCAGCACGGAACGTTCTCGCCTTGGATGTTTTGTCACTGTGGCTCTTTAATGTCACCGCATCCCGCGGGAGACACCGTAATGCTGTTTTAATTATTTCTTGCCCCTGCTGGGAAACCACCTCCATCAAAACGGCTATGCGGATCCCATCCCCAGCCTAGCAACGCGCAAACAGGGAGAATATTAAATCGTTCCTCCAAACTTCGCGCTGGCATTCAATTTAATCCAAACAACTTATCCCAAAGCTCTGATCTACTGCGGGAAGGCGGAGATCTGAGAACCGGGAAGGCCCCTCTGGTCTGCTGTGCATGCTCAGAGTGCGCCATGCGAGGCTCCCTGGGGCCAGTGGGAGCGGGAGGGAATGCAGCGGGGACAGGCCACAGGGCAGGCCACTTGAGAACAGGAGCCCCCCAAGAGAGGCAGTCGGTGAACCCCCTTCCTCTGCAGAGCCCAGGTGAACTGGGGGTAGATGGGCCACGCTCTGGTGACAATGTTGCCTTCTGCAGGACACTCTGGAGAGAGATGCCACCTCACTGGGGACAGGACGGCGAGTGCATCAGGTGTGAGGTGTGGCCTCTGCACCTATACGTGGCTCTTACTGCAGGTGGACCGGTCTGCTTGTAAGAACAGGCGCTGAGGACACAGATGCACAGAGCAAAGACGGCACAAACCCGAGGGAGAAGCTGGCCAGTGAGGGGCCTCGGAGGAAACCAGCCCTGCGGGCCCCGGAGCTGTGAGCCCTGAGTCTGCCGCTGAAGCCGCATGGCCTGTGACGCTCCATCCACCATAAGCCTAGTGTGTGGATACCCATGTCCGTCCCCGTACAGGACCCCAAACCACGTCCAGGGCACCTTCACAGCCTGCTCTGGGCCCAGCCCTGACCCCGCAGCACAAACCCAAGAGCAGCCTTCGGCACTCGCCGCTTCTGTGGCCCAGGGGAGTCGGCCCACCTCGGTCTTTTGTGCAAAAGATCAACTGAAAGTCAGAGTGGCCACAAAGCCACAGGAGTGGGGGATGACACTTGTGCCACTTCCACAGCTTCAGGACTTGAGAGGGGAGTACTGTTAAACGGGAAAAGCCTTTTACTAACAGGGCCCTGCTTCCAAGGACAGCCCGGCCAGTAGGGAGCTCCAGAGACAGGCCGGCCGAGTCCCCGGGGAGCGCGTCTGTATGGCAGTGACGGTGACGGTGGCCCTGGGCCGAGTGTCTGTGACCCCTAATTCCTCCACGACACAGTGCACAGGCTGGGGTCTGAGGCCAAGCGTGGGGGCTGGGCTTTTTCTTTTTCATCTTTTGATCAAGACCAACAGCAACTCAGCACTTCGGACACGAGGCTTCAAATAGTCCCTTTTCAAGGGCCCCGGAAGTCTCAAGGAGAAGAGGTTAAGAACAACCACCAGGCAGGGGCAGAAGCCCGGGTTGCCACCCTGCAAGGCCCAGGTCCACATGGATGGACCCCGATTCTCTTGCCCGGTCACTGTCCCCGCCGTCTTCATCCGCCGCATCCGCATGTCACTCCACATCCTTGTACTTGGTGAACAGGTTGTAGAGCACCCGCAGTGTGGATTTGAGGTCCAGGTTCACCACATCTGCAGACAGAAACAGAGACAGCACTGGCGGGAGGAGAGAGGCCTTCGAGGTCCCTCCCTGTGCTTAGAGGGCAGCCACAGAGTGGCCACCTTTCCCACCCCAACCGGTAATGAATCGCAGAAGCAACAGACAGTGGGCCCATCCCCCTAACCCTCTCCCACCCTTTCCTCCTGGGGCATGGGTAAGAAAACCAAGATGGCGGCAGGGGGTGGCTTGACCACATGACCTCGGCTCTGTGGGCAGGAGGCAGCAGTGCTCTCCACGAACCTGGGCTCCCCACACTTCCCCAGCCCTTAATGCAGGCAGTGAGATGGGAAGTAGTCATGGAGCCCGGGCAGCGAAAGCTTGGGATACTTTCAGAGTGTCGAGGGCAGCCGTTCTGGGTCTGAACTTCAAAAGGTTTTAAGAGACTCTCTGGGAAACAAAACACTGAAAGTTCCACCAGACCAGCTACCCGCAGCACCACTGGCTTCTGTGTGGAAGCACAGGCTCTGCCCAGGGACTCTGTGAGCCTCGGCGCATCCCCAGGTGGCCCTCTGTGGGCGCTACCAGCTGCCGGGCTCTTAGGCTCAGCCTAAGATGAAGTCCTCTTTCCTGGCATAGGTCCCCTTAAGGGAGGCTTAGGGGGCAGGGACCATGAGGTGATCCAGGCCCTGCTCAGACCCATGTGACGCACCCACGAGCCGATCCCTCTGACCGCCCTCAGGAGCCCTCAGCCTGCGGACACTGACCCTCAGGAAGTCCCCAGCATCTTCCACATATGTGAAGAGGTGCTTGGGCCCTGAGGGCAGTGGCCAGAGGCCACAACCCACAAAGTCACATGGTGGTGCCTCACTGTCATCTCAGCACTATGGGGGCTGAGATTAGGCTGGGGGTTCAAGGCCATCCCAGGCAACATGGGGGGAAGGGCCACCAGCGAGTGCCTCTTGGTTCCTGAGACAGGCTTGGCAGAGCCCAGCCAGCAAGCCTGGGTCCCAAGGTCTTGTGGGAGTCTGCCCTCCAGCCTGCAGCCCCTCCTGCCACGCTGGGCCTCCTGCCACCCTGCAGCCCCGGAGGGGACCTCACCTTCAGGGCGGGCCTTGGGCTTCTTGAGCCCCGCATCCAGCATCAGCTCGAAGGCGAAGGCCACGTTGTGGACCTGCCAAGGAGGAAGGAAGTCAGCCCTGCAGCCTCGGGGCCCTGGGACCACCTGCTGCTCCCCTTCAGAAAGCAGGGTGACAGCAAGTGAGGAAGGGGACCTTCACGACAACCACAGGACCAAGAAGGCACAGGGTGGGCACCAAGAGATGCCTGTGCTGGGTGACACACACGGATTAGATGGCTCCCACTCCCCACACTGCTGACCTGGGGCTGGGGATGGACAGAAGAGGGAGCCCTGCCTGTCCTGGAGGACCCGTAGCCACAGAGTCCCCCTCTGTACCCCACACCCCAGCCACAGTCTGGGAAACAGCCATGGTCCCATTTTACAGATGGAGAAACTAAGGCTTGGGGTGGATAAGTCCCTTACAGAGACACCCAGCCTGGCACAGAACCTGCACAGAGCAGCCACCCCGTATCGGCCAGGAGGGCCATGAAGAGCTGGGTGCGGGCAGGGGTAACCTGGCCAGGAACTGTGGAACGCAGTGCTCTTGGGCCCCTGAGCTGATACCGTGGACCCTGCTGAAATTTCACCCATCTCCAGCCAGACCTGTCTAATGCCACAGAAAAGCAGACGCTTCCGGACCCCTCGTGGCTTCTCCCCAAATCGTCAGGACCTCGCCCCTCTCAGGCCAGGGTGCTGGGCTCCCCTCATGGCTGTGGCCAGGGTCAGAATGAGTGCCTCCCTCACCCCAGTGGCTGTATTTCCTGACCACCCCCTCTGGGGCAAGCCCGGTCACGCTCAGCACGGACCACCAAACCAAACAGGGCAGAGGGCAGAGCTGGTAAGGCCTCTCAGGCTCCTAGCAATGGAGGCTGCAACAACATTTTCATGATTTCGGTGAAAATCAGTCAGATGATAATTTTACTTGCAATGTAATTTAATAATCAGCCAGGAAAAGCCGGTAACCCTTGGTGGGTGAAACCTGTGTTAGAAACAGCTTGGAGAGTTTAGAGCAGCAAAGGAGAGACCGGTCTGCCAGCGCCCCCAGCTTGCTGGCCCCGCTAGGCACGGGGCGCCACCCAACGGGAGGACAGGGCCATCTCTATGCAGGCCACAAAGGCTCCGTGACACCAGGTCCTGTCCGCGAGGTTCCTGGCCCCTCCAGTGGCAGGGTAGGAAATGGGGACGCAGGGCAGGAAATAGGGTGCTCTGACCTGCAGGACAGGAGCAGGGTCACAGAACAGGGAAAGGCGGGGCGAGCACTGGGCACAGGCAATGGGCAAGAGCCAGGATGGGGGATGTAGAAGGCACAAAGCACAGCCCCTGGGCACAGGGATGGCCAGCGCAAGGCCTGTGGCCCTGCCCTCCCGGCGCTGAGGGAGGTAGTTACTGTCACCACTGCACAAAGGGCATGGAACCAGAAGAGCACAGAGGCTAGGGCCGGAGCCTGAGCCATCCTCCACCAGCCCCTGCCTCCATCCTCAGCCGCCACCCGGGCCTCGGCTCACACACGTGTGCACCAGCGCACACCTGCATGCAGAATAAGCTTCAGGTAAAACGCAGACAGGCGGCAAGGAGGGAGGAAGAGGAACACAAACTCCTGCCCCATGGAAAACCCAGGGTGCCCGCAAGGGACAGTCCCCGCACCCCTCTCATGGCCCTCGATGCCTGCAGAGTCCCTTTCAGGGCACAGGGAGGGAGAAGGGGAGTCGGGCCAGGGCCTTTGGGGTCAGGGCAGCCACAGACAAAAGCTCGTCTCCTTCAGCCGCATTTCTAAGGGATGAAAGCCGGGGCCAGGGCGCCGCTGCCTCTACCATTCGCACAAAGCCTTGGCAAGAGACCCGGTTCCAGAGCTGCCTGATCCTCAGCTCTTGCCGGCGCCCTTGTTAGCTGGAACAAAGCAAAGATTGCTCTAAAACGAGGCCGCCGCCTACCGGCTCATGGGGTCTGGGAGCACACGGTCACCCTGGCCTCCCTGTGCGCCCTCTGGTTTCTAGGGCATGGGCAGCAGCATGGGTGGCACCGAGGGTCCCGCAGCCCAGCCCAGTCCAAAGCCCACACGCCCTCCATCCAGCTCTGACACCACAGCCACTGTGCCAAGACCTCGCCAATCTGCTCCAGTTGCACCTCGGCAGGCAAGCCGGGAGCGACACTTGGCCGCGAGCAGACAGGCTGAGCGGTGCCAGGAGCAAGCAGATTGGCAAGCGCAGCCCCACACTCTGCTCTCTGGCCGCTGCCAGCGGCTGGCACCGTCTGCCTCCTGACTCAAGGTCTAGCACTTCGGGGAAATTAAGTGACAGTCGCCGATGAGTCCAAAGCAATCCAGCCTGGCCCTGGCTGGGGGATAAAGGTGGCATGGGCTCAACGCAGCAGCCCCTAGAAGGGACAGTACTCAAAGCAGGGCGGGGCGGCACCCAGCCTCCAGGACTAACTAAAACAATCCTATCTGGGACATTTTCCTCCGATCCCAACCACAGGAATGCCCTCCACATATGGACGCATGCACATCCGCGCAGCCGGTCCTCCACATCTGTGGGCTCCACCTCTGCGGATGAATGCAGAGGCAAATGGAAAACATTTGGAAAAATAATTGCATCTGTACTGAACACGTCCAGAGGTTTTTCTTGTCACGATTCCCTAAGCAGTGCAGGACAGCGACTGCTTACGTGCTGCCACACAGTATTAGGCTCTGGTGCCATGCCAACGCAATGCCACCTTCTCTAAGGGTCACGGCATCCGTCATGCATCTTGGGGGGGGGGGTCCCCAGAACCCTGCAGATGCAGAGAGTTGGCTGTACCCACTCGAGAAGATGCCCTATTATCTGAGCAGGAATAAAACAGAAACAAGTCAGTGCCCAGGAGTGGGGAGCAAGGGGACACGGGCACAGAGTCACCGCGCGGGACTTGGTGCCACCCCTGACAATGGTCCTCAACCTCAGAGAGCAGCAGGAAACAGGAGGGGTGTGCGTGTGATGAGGAGGCCAGCCCACGTGCCCCACTGCTGTTTTACCATGGTGACTAAAGGTGACACGGACCGTGGCAGTCTCCAAGGAAGACACGGTCAACCGAGCTCTGACAGGCTGAGCACCACTGGTGGCGACCACTCAGAGTCACGCTTCCCCCTCCTCCATCTGCTCAGCAGGCTCCAGGTCCTAAAGAGCTCAACGAGGCCACAGAGAGCCGAGGGGTCACCCTGGGCTGTGCCCACCAGCCACCAGGCTTGGGCCATGCCCAGAGACAGCCCCTGGCCATATGGGGACTGAACCCAGGGCCTCTACATCGCCAGCCCTTTTTGCTTTTGCTTTTTAAGTTTTGAAACAGGGTCTTACTAAGTTGCCCAGGCTGGGCTCCAACCTGTGATCCTCCTGCCTCAGCCTCTCAGTGTGCTGGGGTGACAGGGGTGCGCTGCGGCACCCAGCCCTGGCCCTCCCTACCTTCTGATCGAAGCTCTCCGGAGTCAGGTAGAAGTTGTGGAGGGGCACAAAATAGTCCTCCAGAAGGCCCATGAGCAGGACGAGGTAGACACCATCTGCAAACTATCAAGAAACACCTGGTGACATTTCTGGGCGAAGCACCGTGCGCATGCTCAGGAGAGGGAGACTTTACAGCCCTACAGTCCATCCCTCATGCATGCAGGAGAGAGATGTGCAAGTTCGGAAGGCCAGGCTGAAGCCTCGGAGACACACGGGGGGAGGAAGGAGGGAGGGGAGAGGGGTCTGAGCGCAGGGCTGCACTCGGCGGACAGGACACGCTTTGTGCCACCGGCCGGGGCCGAGGGCCTGTGCTGTGAGTCTGGGGCCACCCTGGGGTACTTAGTGAGTTCAAGGCCAGCCTGAGTGGCACAGCAAGACCCTGCCTCAAAAACAAACCAAAACAAAAAAAGGAAAACTTGAAATGATCAGAGCCTGACATGCAAAGCCCTGCCTGGCCCATACAGGGGTAAAGCAATCTGTGACCAGGGGTCGTCCTCCTGGGGGCTGCAGGTGGACACGCTCAGCTGGTGGCCAGAGACAACTCTGCCTCCTTTCTCCAAAGAGAGGGTGAATAAGGACAGAGGCAAATCCAAGAGGTGGTGGCTCCGGGGCTGAGGAGGGAGAGTCCCCTGGGACAGAGTCCAGTGTGGGGACCATCCCGGGCCTGCAGGGCATGTGCTGCCTGGCCCTGCGCCTCCATGGTGGGAGTTAATCCCAAGGAAGGGACCAGGCCACAGGTGGCTGTGCAAAAAATGTTGCTGTCCCCTGCATAGCAGCCTGAAAATGTCCAACCTCAAGGGGCGGGCTTCAGAGCACAGCGCGGCCAGCTGTGAAGAATAGGCTATTAAAAGTGACAGGGTCTAGATCGACAGACGGGACAGGAGAGAAAGGATCTGACAGACACACACACACACACACACACGAGTGCGCGCGTGCTGTTTCTCCTACAAGAAAAGATGCCTATAATAAATTTAGGAACAAAAAGCACATTGCAAGACAGCTGTACCGTGTGATCCACTGCCATTTGAGAAAACACATTTATGCTCATAAAACATCTCAGGAGAGAAAACATCCAACACTTCCCTGTGCTTAGTTCTGCCTGGGGAGCTTGGAGGGGAGAGTGCAGGAGAGGAGAGAGAATTTCTGCCCCGAACTCCGCAGGCTTCGGGACTGTGAATGTGTCCAACAGCCCATGTGCGGCGGGTGAACGGCAACATTAGGGAACCGCTGCCGATAACGTGGATGTGCCTGCCGAGGACGCGCAAACGAACGCACGCTTTAGGAGATGACGGCCCTTCAGCGTCCACGCGCAGCCCCCCCCCTCCCCCCCCCCCGCCCCTGCACAACCGGCCACACGGGCGGAGAGGCAAGCGGTCGCCACAAATCCCCGGTCCTGTCGTCTCCAGGGATTACGCCTGACTTTCATTTGTTTTGCTTATCTGCATTTTCAGACATTTCCACAATGAACCTGAATTACTTTTTTAATTAGAAAAGCAAATGGGAGAAACTAGAGAACGGGAAAGGAGCAGGAAGACCCATCCAGGGGTTCAAGAAGGATCAACTGCGCATTAGAGAAGCCCGTGCCCAGGACACAGAAGGCTCCAGCTAATCCGGGGAGAATTATATCTTGTCTCGAAAGCTCACCAAGCGCTCGAAAGCATGTGTCACGGTGCTACTCCAGCTGGGGGCGGGGTGCACTCTACACTCCCTACTGCTGCCCAGGGTAGGTCTCACACATTCACCGGAAGACACTTACTGAGCATGGGTTAGACAAAGGCCCGGGCGAGGGGTGAGGGCTCCACCACGGAAGCAGGACAGAAGTTCCAGGCACGGGGACACGTGCACGCAAAGGCCCCGGGTGGCTGGAGGTGGATGGTTGGACTTTGACTCCCAGAAAGAGATACCGAAGTCCTAATGCTCGGGCCTGAGAACGTGACCGCCCCAGAAACAGGTGATTGAATTACTATGGTGGGGCCTGGTCCAGTGCTGCCTGGCCCAGCCTGGGATCCATCACCTCAGAGCACTGCATACCTGGGTCTCCAGCTCTGTCACCTCCAAGTTCAGCTTGTTTAGGTGCTTGTTCACAAACGTGATGAGAGACTGTCAAAGCAGAGAGAGAGAGCTGTCAGGGGCCCCGGAATCCCCCATCAGCTGTGACCAGGGGCCCAGGCTCCTACTGCAGCCCTTGGTGCTCATGTGCTGGTGCCCATGTGTACCCAGCTGGACAGGAAATCACAGCAACCACGTGCCTGATTCTGACCCCCACCCGCGCCACACTGTGCTTAGCAGCCATGCAGAACACCACCGTTCTTATGAAAAAAGCTGCCAGGAAAAGAATCAAGATGGCAGGCATACCCTGGACATGACCCAGGATGCCAGAGGGCAGCCTCTGAGGGTGGAGAGGAAAAGACGGCCCCTCCCAGGCCCAACACACTTTGCCCTGGCTTCATCCCAGGGCTTCAGGCCCTCTGCAAGCTACCGAGGGCCACCAGCTTCTCTCTGGCAAAACTGTTCTATAAGTACTCAGCAATCAAACCCAACTTTAATGTAAACTCAGTTTCAGCCCAGCCACCCTACTCCTGGCTGTGACACCTTTCCTTATTCCCTTTCTGGACTTGCTGAGGCAGGACTTGGTGTCAGGTTCAAGGCTTTGTGCTGGGGACCCCGACACAGGAAGATAGCCCTGGCCTGCGGGTTTCACAGACTCCCGGTGGTAGGGACAGGCATACCCAGGGACGGAGTCCTGCCCGGGCAGCCAGAACTACAGGGGAGTTCCCTAAGCACATGGAGGACAGTAACAGGAGCACCTAGTCCCATCCCCAGCTAAGAGGGAGGTGGCAGGGGGTGGGGGTGGGGCCGAGTAGCCACCCAGCCCTGACTCCTCTGTGAAGCTCTGGCCTTAGCCCGTGGCTGGATGTGACTGGGGGAGGGGGCCTGCGGAGGTGACAGTGCCCAGCCTTCACTGCAGGGCACAGGGGGCCACCCACACTGCAACTTGCCAGGGAGGATGGGGGAGGGCAGGCTGGGGGCTGGAAGCCACAAGGCGAATAAAAGGCATTGATTACTTCTCCATTCCTATGACATGCACCTTTGCAAAAGACCAGCTGGCAGCCTGTCTCCCAGAACACGCAAGCTGCCCTTGACCCACTGTAGTCAACACCACGACCATACAGTGCGTGTGCAGACGTGATCTCGGTTTGTCCCCACTGTGCCTCCGAGAGGTGCGTAATGTCTGTCTACACCTAGCAGCTGGGGTAATAGAGGCTGGGGGCGAGCGACCCGCCCCAGACCACAGCCAGTGAGGGGCTCGGATTAGGCATGGCCTCGGAGCTGGTGCCCTGGAGGAGCGGGGGGGTGGGGCCCAAAGTTCCGGGAGGGTACCTCCAGGTCACTAGAAGGAGCGGAGGAGCGACTGCAGAGTCTCAGCTCCTCAGGGGCAGAACCCTTCCCGGCAGGCAGGTGCCCTGCCAGCTGGTAGCTTCCACCAGGACTCCAGAGGCGCTTGGTCCCCACAGGAAATGCGCCAAGTGTGAGCCTGCAGGCGGCAGTGTGCTGGGCGGGCGCGCGCAGCCTGGCGGTAACGAGGCCGGTGACAGCCAGCAGGCTGACACGCTTAAAAACATTTCCACACCGACACAGAGCCTTGAGTCAAGTGGGAATGAACTGCCACTTTCAGGCTCCTCGCTCCCTTCCCAAGAAGCGAGGGAGGGCAGGAAGCCACCCGGGGAGCTGGGCTCTGAGTGCAAAGGTGCTAATTTTATGTGCCTTAGCGGCATTTCTTACTGTAATTACCTTTCAGTCCATGATGCAAGCATCTTGGGGATTCCAAACATTCGCCCCTTCTTCCCCACAGGTTATGGAAAGCTGGGTGAGGGACAAGAGGGCCTGGAGCAGGGACTCGGGGATGCCAGGGAGGACACAGTCCCCTCCCCTTACCTTCTTCACCACGGTCAGCTTGTCCGGGGCGTGGTCAAAGAGTGTGTCAAAGGCATCCCGCTCTGCCGGGACATGCAAAGAGACTCAGGAGAGGGTTCCCGGGCAGCCTGGGTGCCACCCTGAGCCCCAACGTCCTGGGAACAAGCCAGCTCTGGTCCCCGGGTGTGTGGTCCCTGCCTGCTAGCATCCCTGAAATCCTGCCAGAGCAGTGGGCCGCGTGGCAAAGCCCAGGGCAAGGCCTGGCTGGAAGCCCCCTGCGGCGGCTGCGACTCCACCTCCCCGCTCGGCAGGGGCTGGGTGGGCACAGTGGGCACCTTCCCAGGCACACTGTGCCTCTCCCTGCCACCTTCCAAGTCATCTCCTTTGTGAATCCCACCCTGCCACGAGTGCCACCCCGCTTACTCTCCGGCCCCATGCGCATGTCCCTGTCCCCGCCCCTGTCTAGCAAGCATAGCCCTTCAGGCACACCTGGATCTCTCCCCCCTTTCACCCTCCATACCCGCTAAACCCTCAAACGCATCTTTTGGGCTAAAATCCGTTCTCCCCCAGGGGCCTTGGGCTGTCACAGGCTCAGACCTGTCCTCTGGGCCACTCCCTCACACCCGGCACACATCTGCCTCGGAGCCTTGGCCCAGACCACCTCAGAGGGACCCCGCCTCTGCTGCCTTCTGCCTGCCCAGGGTCCACCCCACTTGGCACCACCACTCAGGTGGCGTCTCATTTGATATCCGCTCTCTGCTGGGCCACCCACTCCCAGCTGGGCACCCACGGCCTGCACACAGCAGTGGAGGTTGGCGGCGGCCCTCGAGCTGTCACCCTGGGGATCTGCCTCTGGGCACAGCAGCTTGCATTTCCCCAAGCTGCTCCCTCCCTCTCCTCCTCCCCAGGGAGCCCCAACTGCTCTACTGCTGACACAGGTCTTAGGGAGTCACCACCAGGCTGGAAGAAGAGGACGAGTCATTTGGGAGAGACCTGCATCCCCAACTGCTGTCCTCAAGGTCCTTGGGGGACAGCATGTGTCAGAGGATGAGACCAGTGGAGGCCTGTGGCCGGTCCTGGTGTGGGCTCTATTCTCAGGGAGGAGCATAGCCCAGTGAGGTGGGTGGGGTGCCCCTTCCACCTGCACCCCAGTGACCACCCTGGCCCATGCACAGGAGGAGCAAGCAGCTCTGTGGGGGCCCAGCCCTGCTCCCCACCCAGGCCCGGGGAGGTGGAT